CGCACTGAATGTAAGGGCCAGTGGTACTGGGTCAACTTTAACATTACTCCAAGTACAGAGTTTTCCTAGCAGTAATCGTTCTAGATTACAGATCACCAGGCCTTTCTTCTGCATACCTCTTGGTGGGTTTGAACTGCCTACTTATAGGTTAATAGTGAAGCACAAGGCAGTTGTGCCACCTAGGGATCTTTCTATGTGCTAGCACTTTAAATAGATGTTCTTGTTCCTTGTAACAACTCAGTTAAGTACTGCTGTTATTCAGATGAACTCTGGTGGTGCAGTGGTTAAAGTATTTGACTACTAATCAAAAGTTCACTGGTTCAAATCCACCAGTTGCTCCATGGGAGAGAGATGAGGCAATCTGCATCCTTGTAGATTTACAGCCTTGGAATCTGTATGGGGCAGTTCCTATAGGGTCCCTATGAGTCAGAATTGACTCATTCGCTGTCCATTTGTTATCCAGTGAAAATCCTATGGATCACAACAGTTTGATCCCCAACCCATCATCATTATGACGCAGAACTAGTGTAAACAGGTTCAATAGAGACATTTTTTTTTTTTAATTGTGCTTCATGCCCCATCCACAGCCATAAAATACTCTCCTCTCCTCCCCTCTCTGTGACCACCCCCTCCCTGTGCCCTTCTTATCTATGCATCCCCTCTGTCCAGCTTTCCCTCTATGTGAAAGCTGCCCCTCTGGTGTGTCCTGGTTGATTAATCTAAGGGGTGCATCTCACTAGAGTAGGTGGGTGTATCACCCTGGAGTAGGTGTTCTACCTGTAGGTCTTTCTACTATTGGGCTGAGAGCCAATCCATGGAAATGAGTCCATTTCTAGACCCAAAGGGTAACCCAAGGCCATAATCTTGGGGGTTCCACCAGTCTCTATCTGACCAGTAATTCTGGTCATTTTTGTGTTTTTTAAATTTGTTCCACATTTTTCCTCCCACTAAATCCAGGATCTCCAGTTTTGATCCCTTTCCAAGTGGTTGGCATTAGTAGCCAGGCACCAGGTAGTTCTTCTGGTCTCGGGTCTTGAAGGCTGAGTTCCTCATGGCCCGTCTTATCCTTAGACTAATTGTTTCCAAATGCCTTCGATTCTTTTCATTCTTCTTTGCTTTAGATGAGGGGAGACCAATAGTTGCATCTTAGATGGTTGCTCAAAAGCTTTGAAGCCCTTAATAGATAATCACCAAAGTAGGTTGTAGAACAGGATTTTTAGGTACTATGTTGTGCCAATTGAGCATGATGTCACCCAAGACTATGGTCCTGAGTCTGCAGGCCCAGTGATTCTCTTCAATGGAGACAATTTTATTAAGGCTTAGACAGGACACTTTCATCAAGCCTTAGACAGGACAAAGACAGTCATCCAAGATGAGGGAAACCATTAGCATACACACAGTTCAGAAAGCTGAATGGAGTCCTTGCAAGTCACAGCCATGGAGCTAATTATATATGATTGAAAACAAAGGCAGCCATCACAAAATCATGATTGGTGGCAGATTGATTCATCACTGTCACAGGTGGGACTACAGAAGTAGGGAACAGTCTGTGATTGGGATGTGTACATCATTGAAGATTAAGAAGGTTATAGGATTGGTTCTGGGGCTCAACTACCTGGCTACTTGGTGCTCTGGGTATGACTCATGACCATGCAACCTGAATCATAGCCACAAGGTGGCCACCACCCAATACCAGGACCCCAAACTTAATTGAAATTAGATAAGGACACTCCCAGGCAAGTGCCCTAATTCTTTATGTGAGCATAATCTACTTTCAACCACACTCTTCCTGAGGGCAAACTGCCCCTCCCTAGGTTTTTCCTAGAACATATCTATGCATAGCCGCAACACTGGTTTAAAACTCAGAAAGAACTCAAATGGCACCTGAACTTTTGTCAAGACTCAAAATGGCATTAGCACTCCCACTATAGACTGTAACCTTCTACAAACCCAGGTGCTTTAAAACTAAAGCTCTAATGAATGGGCAGCATTTCATTCCATTGTGCATGAAGTCCACTCAGCAGCAACTAACAGCAACAGGATGGCACAGTAGTTATAAAATGTGTTGGAGTTGGAAACACAACCAGGTGAAGATGAGGCAACGTGGATTAATATATGTCGTCACTCGGCTAGAGGAACAAAGGCAAGCAGGGGGATGATAGGGCCACTTTGTGAAACTGGGCCTTCAGTGCACCCATCTAGTGACAGCTGGAGATGCAGTGGAGATTCTGCCTCTGATGGAAAGACCACCTGAAGCACAGTCAGGGTGACAAATACCCTTCTTTATTCCCTTGCTTGTTTCCTTCCAGTCTCTGCCAGTGCCTCCCATACATCAAACCCCACATCAGGTAACTTGGCAAAGAACTCCTGAGACATAATGTTACCAGGGTCCCTGAGACCCTGACCTGGGATTCTTGCCTTCTACTGGCAAAGAATTGAACAGGAGAGGCAAAATGTCCACACAAACCAAAGTTTACTAAAGAGAAAGGAGAGGGGAGGGGCTTGTGTGGGAGAGGAAGAGGGGCTTTCATGAAGTTACCACAGACTGCCAGAAGCACTAACAAATCTGTCTGGGAGGAAGTGCAGCCAGAATGCTCCTTGGAAGCAAGAATGGCCAAACTTTGTCTCACCTATTTTAGTCATGTTGTCAGAAGGAACCATTTCCTGGAGAAGGCTATCATGCTTGAAAAAGTGGAGGGTCAACAAAGAAGAGGAAAGCCCTCAACGAGATGGATAGACACAGTGGCTGCAATGATGGGCTCTGGTATAGAAAATATTGTGAGG